TCGGCCAGTGTGATAATAAAAATAAAAAAAAATATATATATATATATATATTATATATATATATATATATATATATATATATATATATATATATATATATATAATATATATATATATATATATGGAGTGTGAGCAGGGTAATATTTAGTGAAGGGATTCAGGGAAACCGGTTATTTTCATATAGTCGGACTTGAGTCCTGGAAATGGGAAGTACAATGCCTGCACTTTAAAGGAGGGGTTTGGGATATTGGCAGTTTGGAGGGATATGTTGTGTATCTTTATACGTATATGCTTCTAAACTGTTGTATTCTGAGCACCTCTGCAAAAACAGTGATTATGTGTGAGTGTGGTGAAAGTGTTGAATGATGATGAAAGTATTTTCTTTTTTGGGATTTTCTTTCTTTTTTTGGGTCACCCTGCCTCGGTGGGAGACGGCCGACTTGTTGAAAAAAAATTTATATATATATATATATATATATATATATATATATATATATATATATATATATATATATATATATATATATAATGTAAAATTCGTCAATTATAAGAATTCATTTAAAATTAAGTCCTTTCTAAAATTTTCTCCTATACGTTTATAGATATATATTTTTTTTCATTTATGATAATATAAAAGTTAATGATAACCTTATTATAAGAAGCTCAATTTAATTTAGCCTAGTGATGGACACGATGCAACCCCAGCAATTTACATTATCACCTTACTCAACCTTCTACACAAGGCCTTTCTCATCAGCGTTCCAATCCTTCACTCCTGCATTACACTGCGGCCCGCATCTACTTGAACAAATATTATGTGTATCTCTCGCCTCGACCATTATCTTGTTTTGTTTCTCCCTCCCTTCTCTCTTTTCAAGTGATTTTAATGCTCATCATTTTCTCTGAGAAGGGTCTCACTGTGACTCTCGTGTCGATCAGTTAGAGGCTTTTCTCACTCAGATTCTTGCATAGAACTCTATTCGTGCCTCTTCGAATGCCCTTGACTTAATCTGGTCTGTGCTCCCAGATTTACATGACAACAACGATCATTTTTCTATCCTCCATACTTACCATACAAATTCTCGCTCTCCTCGTAGCCCATGTTGGCAGTTTGAACGGGCAACTGGGCCCTTTACTTGCGTCGAACCTTTGTTATGAGGAGCCTTCTCCTTGTCCTCCCATGAGCTGTTACACTTATTTAAAACCTCTGTCTTAAATGCAGCTTCAATCCCTCAAACCTCAAGTAGGCACTCTCGGAAATGCGTACCTTGATGATCTCCTGCTTGTGCTTGTGCAGTGCGTTTGATGCATCTTGTGTGGGGCCGATATTATTACAACCGAACCACAGAGCGTCTCCTTGATTTTAAGCGAGTGAGGGCGGTTGCCTGACGTGTAATCCGTGAAGCAAAACGCACTTGTTGGCAGGATTATGTTTCTACCGTCACTTCCACTTCCTCTGAGTGCACTTTGAAAAAGGTACAGAAACTGAGTGGCAGGTAGTTTCCAGACGCAGCTGCCGTTCTTGGGGTTGCTGATGTCAGCATTGCAGATTCTGCTGAAGTTGCCACAGCGATTGGAAATCATCTTGTACTTATATGTCAGTGGCTCCATCTGTGTCCCTTGTCTCTTTCCTCCAAATATGCCAGAGAGTTAACATCTTTAGATTTTTCTTCTGGTATAAAAACAAATCTTATGTGCTTTTTAACCCTTGAAGAAATTCCGCCTGTCGATCGTAGGCTCCAACGTTTACATCCGACGGCTCTTGTAGTCCCTTTAATCTTACTTCGTCGCAGGATGCGACTCACACCAGTCAACTAACACCCTGGTACTTATGCCTTAATACTTGTGTACACCATTGCGTGTACCTTTTAACATGTGAACAATGTGTTCTTTTTCACTTGTGTACTGCATTGTGTTCTTTATCACCTATGTACTCATTACCAGTAAATACTAAAGTAATCCGGTCTGTACATCAATTTAAGTCTCTTCTCAAAAACCATCTTCTCACCCTAAACTAAATATTAAATAGTCAATACTTAAATTAAGATCTCCCAATTACCTAAATTTTAACACTTCAAAATTTAAATACCCAAAGCTCATACATAACTTTATCCTACATTGTAGTATAAATACCTGCACAAAACTATACTCTCATACACCATACTGCAACATTCTCATACTGTAAACTACTTTCACTAATGCTCAATATTATATTCCAATAATATAACTTAAATATTTACTATTGATATGTTACACAACTTACAAAATACCTTCAAATTGTCCCAATGTAATATCCCCAGATTGTAACTTGAGTTAACTTAATCTCTGATTTAAATAAAAACAGATGTTCAATTTAAACAAACTATGATCAATTTCTCTAGGGTTACATTTGTGCCATTAATTTAGTCTGCCCATAATGCCATGGCAAGACAGTGACTCTCTTTGCACTGCAACTCATTAATGTAACTACAGAATCTCAACGCAAACTTGCAAAGAAATAAAAATTGTATTGTATAAGGAGTTCCTCCTCGTCTGTGGAAAACAGTCGTTCTTCTACCTATACATAAGCCAAATATTTTAGGCAATGATGTTTCTCACTATCGAACCATTGCGGTTTGCAAGTTGCTGGAACTTCTAGTAAACAAAAGTTTAGTGTAGTATTTGGAGTCACAGAAATCTTTCCACTCGTCAATTTGGTTTATGTAAGGGCCAATCCACTATTGACCCCTTATTCTGTTTAGATGCTTATGTTCGTAATGCCTTTCCTAGTAACCATTCTTGAAAAATCTTATGCCACTACTTGGCCCAGTCTCATTGTCTGAGAGACATTTCCATGTCCAGGTTAATACTGTGCTTTCCCCTGACTATCCAGGCTGAAGGTTTCCTTAGCACCACTCATTTTCTACTTTCTATTAATGATCTTGTCTCGGTTCTTCCATCTAATATTTGGTCTTCACTTTGTCAATGTTATAGCAGACGCAGGCGTTGATTGTCACCTAGTAACAGCCTCTCTCCAGAATGTTATCGGTCGTGTTTCCAATTGGGCCACAACTCGTGAGTTTAAATTTTCTGGCACTAAAAACCACATTACTTTTCCTAGGATGTTCTATTATCTCCATTGCTCCATAATACTTATATGGTTCCAATATCCCTGAACGTGATACAATCAGATTTCTCAGACTTTTGTTTGACCGCCGGCTGTCCTGGAAACCTCACATTACCTTCCTGAAAGTAACTTGCCATAGCCGGCTGAACCTTCTTAAAACTCTCGCTCATCTTTCGTGGGGAGTGACTCGTCGAACTCTCCTTTAACTTCATTCTGCCCTAATCCTATTGAAACTAGATTATGGCGACCAACAACTTTGTCTAAACTTGAACCAATTCATCATCAGGGGTTACATTTGTGTCTTGGTACTTGTCGTTCCTCCTATGTCGAGAGCCTGTATGCTGAGGGGAATGTTCCATCTTTGCACGATCTACGTGATGCCCATTATCTCCGATATTTTGTCCTCTCTCATGACCTCCACGATCCTCCTACATACAGGATGGTAACAGACATTAGTAGGGTCCTTTATTTGCTCGCCGCCCCCTGCTTACTCTGATGGTTTTCTCTTCGTACTCACTCTCTTAATATACCTTCATTTACCCTCTTTATTTGTTCATCCGGCTTCTAACTTTTCTCTTCATCCTTGGGAAGTTCCGATGATTTGTGTGTTCTTGCACACTGCCACGCTTGAGAAAGATCTAATACCTACAGTTGCTTCAAGCTCCCTTTTTCTTAACCACTTCTGATTTCACTCTCATTCCGTTGCAGTTTACACTGATGGTTTTAAATCCTCTGACGGTGTCGAGTTGGCGGAAGTGTTTATGGACAGTGTTGTAAGAGGTCATTTATTGGACCCGGCTAATATTTTCATAACTGAGCAATAGGCAGGTCTCATCGCTGCTATACATAGTGCATCTCTGCCTACCTCAACATTCATACTACTTTTAGACTCCTTTAGTTTTTTTTCAGGCTATCAATAAGTCTGATTCTCCTCGTTCCCCCGATCGTCGTATACAACTTTGGTTGCGCCACGTTTCTAGTAGAAACAGACATCGCTTGCTGCTAGGTCCCTGGTCATGTGAATATTTAGGGCCACCAGCCGGCGGACTCTGATGCGCGGTCAGTTGTACATGACCTCCACGTTTCACACGGGGGTACTGCATTCTCAGACAATTTTGCTGCAATTCTAGACAACTTCGCAGTCGTTGGCAACAACAATGGTCTGAGGTGATTCATAAGAAGTTATATTCTAACGAACCTTGTTTAGGTTTCTGCTCTTGTTATCATCAAAGTCGTGTTTGGGAAACGACACACGTCTCGCCTATGGGTACCTCATGGAGAAGCGCCCAGCGCCACTTTGAGAACTGTCAAGTTCAGTTTTCAGTTTGCCATATATTAACAGACTGTCCTTGTCTACCAGCGAACAGGCAGAATTTACCTCCAACGTCGTCACCGTTCTGACGTCGTTACTTTATCAGACCTCACTGACAGTCCCACCTTTAACAGACTCCCTCTTTGAATTTTTATCAGCAACGGCTTTATTACACCAACTTTGATTATACTTCCCTTTATCACTCTTTATCGTCCTTACTAACTCTACCTCTGTTATGCTCTACACCCTCGCTGGCTGGTCTCAAATCAAACATATTACACCTTTAGCACATCCTACCCAGCAGTACTGCATGACCTTTGTGGGTTTAGCGCTTAGTTATGATTGTAATAATAATAAACCAAAGTTACTACACAACCTCGTAAGGAAAAAGTCATCCAAACTTAGCTCTCTGTACAGTACACAGCGTTGAAAGTGTGAAGTCGACCCAAAGACGTTCTCAAGTTAGGAACTACAAGCTTAGAGAAACTTAGAAGATACTATTGTTGATATAACCTGTTCCTCCTGAAGGACGTTGCTAACTCTCATGAACAGTTATATAGGGTCTGCTTGTGTCTTCCACAGTGGATCTGTTCTCAGGCGAGGAGAACTCTCTCTTCTTCTCCAGGAAGTACAGCACCCCTTTCATATGTGATTTTAACCTGGTGTTGTACCCGTTTGATGTTCAGTACTGTGACATGCGCCTCCAGATAATCTCAGGCACCAAAGACTACATCACTTTCGACAAGGTGGCCTCCTTCGCTGCGTACTACGGCAGTGCCTGGCTGCTGGAGTACCAGGTCAGGGTGTACAGTACACACATTTATATACAAATGGATTAGTAGGTACTTTTGTAATAATCGTTATAAAATGTTTATTGTTTCCCTTTCATATAAAAAAATAAATTTTCGAGCTCAAGAATCGCAACATCAAATTTTTTAAGTTTATTCTCCACATTCTGCAGATTCGGCAACCTAAGATCATTTTTGACAACAATAACGAGTTCAGCGAAATGAAAGTTCGGATCCCACTACAGCGACTCTCAGGTTATGCTGTCCTTAACATCTACATTCCCTCTACCATTCTCCTGGTGATCTGCTACATCACACTCTTCCTTCGTCCGCACTTCCTTGAGGCTCGCGTTATGACCACACTCACCTCCTTGCTGGTCTTGGCCACTTTGTTTACACAGGTGAGACACAACGACAGTCACAGTCAAACTTAGCATCACACACAATTTACAATATTGATAAAATTCAGTATTTCCTTATTAAATTTAGCTAGTATGTATATGAATTTTAACTTTTCATAATGTGCTGTCATCATAATTTTTAAATGAATCTGTTATTTTCTGTAGTTTGTCTCAGAGAAAAAAAATTATTCATGTTTAGGTATCCCTGAGGGTGACCTTAAGAAGTGGCTGCCTTAAGGGGCACATCAGTTCCCTTGTCTTCTAATAACATGTTATTTTTCTCCTATAATCTACCTTATCCATAATTAGTAATTGTAGACAAGGTAGATTATAAGGGAAAAATAAACATGATATTAGGAGACAGGGAAACTCTTAACGTTCTCTTTTCTTTTTCTTCCTCCAACTTCTCGTTTTCATTTTGCTCATAACTCGAGAACACCTCGCATAAGCGTCTTTAAAATTCTAACACCTGTGCACGGTCACTAGGGCCAAATTCTAAGAACAATTGGCAGGTGTAGGTGCCCAATGACCAGAGTTGTTGAACCCATTCCCAGCATCCTGGAACGACTCAGATAACATTCTAAAACCTTCAGTGGCGTAACTTTATGCGTTGTAAAGAGTTGATTCTAAATTCGACGACGGCGGAGAGTGAAATTCAGGTGTGTAGATGCAGAATTAACTGTTCTTTTGTCTGTAAAGGAGTGTAAAGTCTTTATACACGCTAAATCACGTAAATTAATTTAATTTTATTTTCATGAACGGCTTTAACATTATTGGTTGATTCATTTTACGGCCTGGATAGCACCCCTTAATTTTATTTGAGTGTAGACAAATCTGTCTGGTGATGCTGTATAAATAGGAGAGTACAATCATTACTCTGCTGATGTTTAGACAGTACAGTCATTACTCTGCTGATGTTTAGACAGTACAGTCATTACCCTGATGTGTAGACAAGTACAGTACTTCCTCTGGTGTGTAGACAAGAGGGCAATCATTATTACGATATAGAGAGTAGAGTACAATAATTATTACTCTTTGGTGTAGATAGGAAAGCACAGTCATTACCCTGGTGTACACAGAAGAGCACAGTCATTACCTTGGTATACACAGGAGAGCACAGTCATTACTTTGGAATACACAGGAGAGCAGAGTCATTACCCTGGTGTACATAGAGCACAATCATTGCTCTGGTGTACACAGGAGAGCACAGTCATTAACCTGGTGTACACAGGAGAGCACAGTCATTACCATGGTGTACACCGAAGAACACAGTAAATACCATGGTGAACACAGGAGAGCAAAGTCATTACCCTGATGTACACACGAGAGCACCATCATTACCTGGTATACACAGGAGAGCACAGTCATTACCCTGGTGTACACAGGAAAGCACAATCATTACTCTAGTGTACACAGGAGAGCACAACCATTACCCTGGTATACACAGGAGAGCACAGTCATTACCCTAGTGTAAACAGGAAAGCACAATCATTACCCTAGTGTACACAGGAGAGCACAATCATTACTCTGGTATACACAGAGGGCACAATCATTACCCTAGTGTAAACAGGAGAGCACCATCATTACCTGGTATACACAGGAGAGCACAGTCATTACCCTAGTGTAAACAGGAGAGCACAATCATTACCCTAGTGTACACAGGAGAGCACAATCATTACTCTGGTATACACAGGAAAGCACAATCATTACCCTAGTGTAAACAGGAGAGCACAATCATTACCCTAGTGTACACAGGAGAGCACAATCATTACCCTAGTGTAAACAGGAAAGCACAATCATTACCCTAGTGTAAACAGGAAAGCACAATCATTACCCTAGTGTAAACAGGAGAGCACAATCATTACTCTGGTATACACAGGAGGGCACAATCATTACCCTGGTGTACACAGGAAGCACAATCATTACCCTGGTGTACACAGGAAGCACAATCATTACCTTGGTGTACACAGGAAAGCTTAATAATTACTCTGGTACACACATGAGAGCACAGTCATTATCCTGGTGTACACAGGAGATCAATCATTACCCTGGTGTACACAGGAGAGCACAATAATTACCTTGGTGTGCACAGAGCACAATCATTTCCCTGGTGTACACAGGAAAGCACAATCGTTGCCCTGCTGTACACAGGAGGTCACAATCATTTCCCTGGTGTAAACAGGAGAGCACAATCATTAATCTTGGTGTACACAGGAAAGCACAGTCATTACCCTGGTGTACGAAGGAGAGCACAATCATTACCCTGGTGTACACAGGAGAGCACAATCATTACCCTGGTGTACACAGGAAAGCACAATCATTACTTTGGTGTACACAGAGCACAATCATTACCCTGGTGTACACAGGAAAGCACAGTCATTACCCTGGTGTACACAGCACAATCATTACTCTGGTGTACACAGGAGAGCACAATCAGTTCCCTGGTGTACACAGGAGAGCACAGTCATTACCCTGGTGTACACAGCACAATCATTACTCTGGTGTACACAGGAGAGCACAATCAGTTCCCTGGTGTACACAAGAGAGCACAGTCATTACTCTGGTGAACACAGGAGAGCACAGTCATTACCCTGGTGTACACAGCACAATCATTACTCTGGTGTACACAGGAGAGCACAATCAGTTCCCTGGTGTACACAGGAGAGCACAGTCATTACCCTGGTGTACACAGCACAATCATTACTCTGGTGTACACGGGAGATAAATCATTACCCTGGTGTACACAGGAGAGCACAATCATTACCCTGGTGTACACAGAGCACAATCATTACCCTGGTGTACACAGGAAAGCACAGTCATTACCCTGGTGTACACAGGAGAGCACAATCATTACCCTGGTGTACACAGGAGAGCACAATCATTACCCTTGTGTACACAGGAGAGCACAATCATTTCCCTGGTGTACACAGGAGAGCACAATCATTACCCTTTGTGTACACAGGAAAGCACAATCATTACTCTGGTGTACACAGGAAAGCACAATCATTACTCTGGTGTACACAGGAAAGCACAATCATTACCCTGGTGTACACAGGAAAGCACAATCATTACGCTTTGTGTACACAGGAAAGCACAATCATTTCCCTGGTGTACACAGGAAAGCACAATCATTACCCTGTTGTACACAGGAAAGCACAATCATTACCCTTTGTGTACACAGGAAAGCACAATCATTTCCCTGGTGTACACAGGAGAGCTCAATAATTAATCTGGTGTACACAGCAGAGCACAATCATTACCCTTTGTGTACACAGGAAAGCACAATCATTACTCTGGTGTACACAGGAAAGCACAATCATTACCCTGGTGCACACAGGAAAGCACAATCATTACCCTGTTGTACACAGGAAAGCACAATCATTACCCTGGTGTACACAGGAAAGCACAATCATGACTTTTGTGTCCATAGGAGAGCACAATCATTACTCTGGTGTACACAGGAAAGCACAATCATTACTCTGGTGTACACAGGAAAGCACAATCATTACTCTGGTGTACACAGGAAAGCACAATCATTACCCTGGTGTACGCAGGAAAGCACAATCATTACCCTGGTGTACACAGGAAAGCACAATCATTACCCTGGTGTACACAGGAAAGCACAATCATTACCCTGGTGTACACAGGAAGCACAATCATTACCCTGGTGTACACAGGAAAGCACAATCATTACTCTGGTGTACACAAGAGAGCTCAATCATTAATCTGGTGTACACAGGAGAGCACAATCATTACCCTGGTGTACACAGGAAAGCACAATCATTACTCTGGTGTACATAGAGCACAATCATTACTCTGGTGTACATAGAGCACAATCATTACTCTGGTGTACACCGGAAAGCACAATCATTACCCTGGTGTACACAGGAAAGCACAATCATTACCCTGGTGTACACAGGAAAGCACAATCATTACACTGGTGTACACAAGAGAGCTCAATCATTAATCTGGTGTACACAGCAGAGCACAATCATTACCCTGGTGTACACAGGAAAGCACAATCATTACCCTGGTGTACACAGGAAAGCACAATCATTACACTGGTGTACACAAGGAGCTCAATCATTAATCTGGTGTACACAGGAGAGTACAATCATTACCCTGGTGTACACAGGAAAGCACAATCATTACTCTGGTGTACATAGAGCACAATCATTACTCTGGTGTACACCGGAAAGCACAATCATTACCCTTTGTGTACACAGGAAAACAGTCATTACGCTGGTGTACAAAGGAGAGCAAAATCATTTCCCTTGTGTACACAGGAGAGCACAATGATTACTCTGGTACACACATGAGAGCACAGTCATTACCCTGTTGTACATAGGAGACCACAATCGCTACTCTGGTCTACATAGGAGAGCACAATCACTGTGATGTACACAGGAGAGCCCAATCACTATGATGTACACAGGAGAGCCCAATCACTACTGTGGTGTACACTTCAAACCTCATCATGATCGCTGCTACACACCACAAGATCTACACTACTCGACAAGTCCTTATGACATTATTATTATTATTATTATTGGCCTCTTCAAGGGGGGGGGGCTCCTTAGCGTGGTGAAGAGGCTCTTGGTTTGAGGAGTTAGACCTGTCGGCCACCTTCCTCAGACCGAACCTAATTACCCCCCAGTCCCTCCCTTCCCTATCCCTTCCTCCCCATCCTCCTTTTTTTCCTTTTCTCCTCCTCCTCCCCACCCCTCCCTCTTGCCCTTCCTCTTTTTGGCCTTTGGGATTTTTCCCACAGGCACACTAGTTCCTAGGTAGGGGAAAGGGTACCGGGGTCCATATAATTCCGTTGAGGTTCTTGGCAGTGGCGTAGTTTGCCGTGGAATCTGGATCGCCTGGGAATGTCTCGATCCCTCTCCAGTATCCCGGAGGGTGGCTTTGGGTGTCTTTCGGGCGACGGGTGTATCTCGGTAGCCACCTTACGGATTCCAGGGGGTGGTGGCCGAAGGAGGTATGCTTTGTGGTGG